GGGCTTTCGAATGGTGTATGAATTATTTGTGTTGTTATTACAAGTGTTGCTGTGACCCCCTAGGAAAAGGTTATGCCCCGCCCTGTATATATCTCTCCCATGTGCTCGTTTTGCCCACGACCCAAAAAACTCATGTGTTCCTATCCACTATTAAACCATCTTTCCAAGGAGTCTTCATGTTTCCAGTGTCTTCCCCCCCCCACTTGGAACTGAACCCAGATCAACATTTCTTCCAACAGCAAATCTGATTTTAACTGCACTGCAACAACCTTCATTTTGACTCATTTGACGCACCTCACCCCCAATTGCTATTTCCTTCCAAATTGTTCTGTGGTTTAAATTCATGCATGTGGTGATCTTCACTTCAATAACCACAGCAGCAATAAAACTATGGAGAAAGTTAAACAGAAATGTGTCATTACTTACCAGCCAATGAAATTGTAACAGTGATCAAAGCTACAATTACAACGACGACAGCAGCAGCAACTGCTACAGTGAATTTTTGGCACTTGAGTACGAGCCCTGAAAAACAGACAGAAAAATATTAGGAGATGTAACTGATTTCATTAACACTGTTTAGATTTTTAAAATGTTTTAATTGTCTTTTAAACCACTCAGGGTTGTAGTCAAGACTGTAGCAAAGTAAATTGGATGTTGTTATCTGACTTGCAGCTGTTGATCCCATCAAGATAAACCCTGAATGTCCCCCATCTCCTTCTCTCTCCCTCTGTAACAGAGGTGGGGAACTATGGACCCTTTACGACTTGATATATTGGGACATTGAGACTTGAGCAATAGGCTCCACCAAGGTCGCCATTCCGGCAGGAAAATACTCAAAGCTGATTGGCCGAATTATCTGACAGCTCCCTATAAAAAGACTAGCTGTCCAACAGGCCAGCCCTGAATTGGTACATATTTTGCTGAATAAAGAGCTCTTGTTGTCACTGAAGCCTTTACCCTATCTAACAACTGCCAACTCCCAGAATTCCCCATCCCTGCTCTATAAGGAAAGGATGAAGAAGCCGTGAGTGTGACTTCCAAGGAGCACAGAGAAGCCTTGGTGTCTGCTGTGTGGGGCCTTCAGATTTCTTTCTCCACAGAACAGATAAAAGTGGATCAGGAATGGCTTACGTCTTCCATCCTTCTCAATAGTTGTGGAAGACGCAAAGTCAATCTAATGAGCCGAGGTGGCACAGTGGTTAGGGTGCAGTACTGCAGGCCACTTCAGCTGACGGTTATCTGCAGTTCAGCGGTTCTAATCTCACCGGCTCAAGGTTGACTCAGCCTTCCATCCTTCCGAGGTGGGTGAAATGAGGACCCAGACTGTGGGGGCGATATGCTGACTCTGTAAACCGCTTAGAGAGGGCTGAGAGCCCTATGAAGCGGTATGTAAGTCTAACTGCTATTGCTATTGCTATCCCACCACTCCCGAAGGTGCTTTTTCAAGAGGCAAGTGGACTTTCTGGTTTTTCTTTGAAGACGTATCACTTCCCATCTAAGAAGCTTCTTCTGCTCTGACTGGAAGGTGGGGAATGGAAGGATTTATACTCCTTGCAGACAGCTGGTCTTTTGCAGTCTTTTAGAGTTGTCAAGTCATGCAAATGGGTGTGGAGCTTCTTGGAACTGTTGAAAGGACTCTGTTGCAGATTGGAGATAGATATTGTATCCCCCCTTCTCTGCTGAGAGAGGACTGTTCAATTTTGACATAGATGGCCTCTTTTACCCCTTTCAAGCCAGCAGATGGGGCTTCGCCCGTTCGTAGGACCCAGTTTCTGGCGCGCTATGAAACAGTGCGGTTCGCAGCCCGGGTGTTGGGGACCTCTGGCATAGAGGAGAGCAGTGACAAACAGAACATGCCATCCCATCACCCATCAACTGTGGTGGTGCAGTGGTTAGAATGCAGTACTGCAGGCTACTTCTGCAGTACTGCATTCTAACCACTGCACTGTCTGGCAGCAGTTCGAGTCTCACCGGCTCAAGATTAATTCGTCTTCCATCCTTCTGAGGTTGGTAAAATGAGGACCCAGATGGTTAGGGAAAAATGACTCTGTAAAAACTGCCTAGAGAGGGCTATAAAGCCCTATGAAGCAGTCTATGAAAACTAAGTGCTATTGCTACCTTCCCCCAACAGCATTACAGCAGTTAACCAAATTTTGTTCTTTTGAGTTGTTGTTAGTTGTTATGTTGTGTCTGGCCCATCGCAACCCCATGGACAACGTTCCTCCAGGCCTTCCTGTCCTCCACCATCCCCCGGAGTCCATCCAAGCTCATGCCTATTGCTTCAGAGACTCCATCCAGCCACCTCATTCTGTTGTCCCCTTCTTCTTTTGCCCTTAATCATTCCCAGCATTAGGCTCTTCTCCAGGGATTCCTTCCTTCTCATTAGGTGGCCAAAGTATTTTGAGTTTCATCTTCAGGATCTGACCCTCTAAAGAGCTGTCAAGGTTGATCTCCTTTAGGACTGACTGGTTTGATCACCTTTCAGTCGAAGCGACTCGCATGAGTCTTCTACAGCACCATAGTTCAAAGACCTCCATTGCTTGGCGCTCAGCCTTTCTTATAGTCCAACCTTCACAGCCATACATTACAACTGGGAAAACCATAGCCTTGACTGTATGCCCTTTTGTTGGCAGGGTGATGTCTCTACTTTTTAATATGCTGTCTAGATTTGCCACAGCTTCCCTCCCCAGGAGCATCTTTTAATTTCTTGGTTGCAGTCCCCATCTGCGGTGATCTTGGAGCCCAGGGAAATAAAATCTGTCTCTACCTCCATTTCTTTCTCATCTATTTGTAGGAATTGAGAGGGCCGGATGCCATGATTGGCATCCGTTCTTTGAGACAAAGATATTAACATCAATCCTTCCCCTTGGAGGGATGATCTGGACTTCTGTCTCCCACCCTAATAGCCAAATCAGGGGTAGGGTTTCTGTCCCGAATATTATGTGGGAAACTCACCAAAGCTACCATGTTGGCCTAAAGTCAGTTTTGTGTGAGAGTTTTCTTTTCAAAAAGAGGTACATCCCAAATTCCTCTCCTCAAAACCAGGAAAAGTACTGTAATTTTTGGAGTATAAGATGCACTGGAGTATAAGACGCACCAAGGTTTTGAAGA